TATATAAATAAATTGGTATGGTATGGTATGGTCAGTTGGCCTGGGAACGCCTTGGGGTCCCCTCAGAAGAGCTGGCAGAGGTGGCTGTGGAAAGAGATGTCTGGACCTCCCTGCTCAAGCTGCTCCCGCGACCTGACTTCGGAACAAGTGGAAGATAATGGATGGATGGATGGATGGATGGATGGATGGATGGATGGATGGATGGAGTTTTTTTAGTAACTGACATGAAAATGAAACGACAGAACTGTTGATGGGGCTCTGAGCCTTTGAGAAGGCCCTGCAGGCAGTTCTTGAATATTTGTGGCGCATTCAAATGCAACATGTAAATTCAAGAATCCTCACTGAAATTGCTGCTGCTTTAAAAATGGTTAGAATATCACATGTAGTTTTATTTAATCAATTTTAAATATTACATTTGCATTTTAGTTTCATTACATGATAACATTTTACTGAAACAGTAAGTTTTGTGGGTTACTGTTAAATTTCAGTGTGGATTATTGAAATGCCATGTTGGATCTGAACATAACATTAAGCTGTAGGGGTTGCTGGGTAATCTTGGGACAGAAAAGAACATTGTTGTTTTCAGGTAAAGTGTTCAGGTGTGCTGTCTCTGTTGTTTTTTCTGTTTAGTGTTGGCTGGCATTTACATTCATGTTTTTGTTAGTGATTGTAAAACATGACATCATACATCAGATGTACAGTATCTTAATGTATAAAAAATGGGAAAGCACTTTGTGTTCAGTTTCTGGATGATGAAACTGAGTAGTGATGTAATCAGCCTGCGCCTGCGGCACGTTTGGCTGCTACACCTGCAGGCCTAGCCCTCATAGTCACAGTTCACCGCTGCATTTCAGAGACATCCTCACAGACGCCAATCACCAACTAGTCCCCAGTCACTGCCCAGTAAGGTACTGGCTTTTGGGAGGATTTGGCAACCTATGAAACTAAATTGTGACTGATTGGAGACGTAAAAAAACTAAATTAACTGAAATCAAATTGAGACATAATTAAGATGTTTTTTGACTGAATTGTGACAGAAAAACTTGCACATTATTTGCAGCAGTCACATTTAAATGCCTACAAAAACTACTGTAGGTGCTAATTCAGTGCCATACCAAGAGAAAATTGGCATTTTTTCTATGAATTGTGTCTCCAACTAACCACAACCCAGTGAGAAACTGGTTTAAGGTGCAACAGTTGCTTTAATTAAAATATGATTAAATATTAGAGGAATCTCAGCATATCAAATCTACAAAAAGCAGAAAAATAGCCATAACTATTATTTAAATAAATATTTCATGTTAGAGCTGATGCTGACAAATAGTCTGAATGTGTAGAACTAAAAAGCACACAAGAAAGCACAGCAACAACCACAAAGCAACACATGTAGTGATCCATTTATACAACAGTCTGCGGTTAGTTTTTCTGCCAAATGCAGAGGAGGTCCTGTAGAGCGAACTTCATACCTGCAGGTGTTTCACAGCACTTCTCAAAGGTTGGCAGCTTGGCTATAAACACATCATCCTCTTTACGCCACATTAAAGGCAGACAGAGGGACGGAAGACGTACAGAAAGCCACAGAGCACAATGGGAGGAGAGATGATGCTGAACATGTTTGTAGATGAGTTACAATAACTGCACTTCTGATGAGAGGAACAACAGTACCCAAAACTAACAAACAGCCCTGAACAAAAGACTTTCTCTGATTCACTTCATAAATATTTGTATTAAAGGGGCCAGACTTTCCTCTGTTTCTTCAATGGATTTTAATCAGTAGCTCTTTGGACTTTCTGAAGGTTTTCTTTAGACTTTGGCTGCTAATTTAATCAGTTTCAGTTCTTGTAGGTGACCATTAAATGAGGAATGCTCATTGTTTGTTTATTAGACCAATCAACAAAGACTTGAGAAACATTTAGAGAAAAATGCATCAAAATGCAAACAATATACCAGTGTACAAATAATAAAAAAAACTTAGCTAGTGACAAACTTTAAACTGATGCACTTTGTTTAAGATGCATGACCAGAAAGTTTTGGTTGCATTCATTTAAAAAAATGTCAAAGATAACAGTTTGACAATTCTTGCATCAGTGAGGTGCCTATCCTAAAAGAAAATGCATCTTTCAGGTCTCTATTTAAGTTAAGTTTTTAATTAAGATCATTTTAAGATAAGAAATGATAGAGTTATAAACATTCTGGTTAAACCTTGAAATTAATTTCATGTGAAATCTCAAGCAATTATTGCAAGATGTCAAGACGGATGAGTTTTGATTGACTTTCAGCTACTAATACATCAAATTTTAGCTTTATATCCACAAAACTAACAAATATATAGCTGTTTTTGCAGCCTATTGTTGATTAGCTGTGACAGCTAGCTAGTCTAAAAGTTAATCAGTCTTTGATGTAAATCCAATTATTAATATCTAAAAGTTTCATTAACAGGCAAAAAGAAGTGACTCCAACTGTAATGGCCAAGTTTAATATAAAAGTCTTGAATAATGAGCAGCACATGGAGTAAGTGTAGTAAATGACTATTGTCATTATTGTTTTTAAGGTCAGTTAAATGTGGCAGTCATCTTTAATTTGGTTGGTCTAAATATTCATTAAATGTAGAGGTTCATCCAATGATTGTTTCTTGAAAGTTTCAATAAAATCAGTGCTGCAGTTCACAAGATACTTTGCAAACAGACTAAATTAAGTCCAAATAGTTCTTAGAAAAAGCTCAGAGTACATGAACTGGGGCTCAATCTCAGCAACTAGCACATCTATTCCCCGCTCAGTATTGGTCAGATTTACTCAGTTATAGCCAGTTTTGTGTTTTAAGGTCATCTGTCTGTGGAAGCCAATTTGAATAGGGTTGACTCAAAGTTATTTGGTTGTAGATGGCCATCCAGTGATTACTTTCTGAAAGGTTCATTATAATTAGACCAGTGCTTCTTGATATTATTTGGTAACAGGCAGACACACAAAACACACAGAGACACAGGCAAAGCAATGATGTCTGCCTTTACTTTTCAGTGGCGGGTGATAAAAAGCAGCCAGTGTTGAAAGAAAACCTCTGAAGGACAATCAGAAAGTCTGAAGAACTGTTGATCAAAACACTAAAACACTGCAGGAAAGCCTGGCTGATTGGAAGAAAAATGTATATGATGGGGGAAGGTATGTAAAGGTCATGGATGTTTTCACTGACTAATGTTAAATTAATATAGAACCATGTGTGTGAAGTCAAGAGTGTGTTTCTGTCGACTCAGAGAGGAGTCTGATAACTGACAACTTCTGATGCCTTCAACAACTGTGAGCTGAAGCAGAGGTCGTCTTGACCCCTCCTCTGTCTGATAACAGATATTTAAGTTTTTCCTAACTCTTTGTCTGTGGGAGACCTTTGACCGGAGCTACATGTAACATCTTGTACATCTGTGTGTTAACTCTGCCCCCAAACTACGTTGAAAACTCTTAGATTCTTCTGTGTGGCTTATTTTACTACCTAGAAAAAGTAGTAAAGTAGTATTATACTACTTTTCTTTGTGTGGGTGAAAATGTTGTGCAAATGTTGAAGATGGCACAAACAGAATTTGTGAAAATACAAAATTGGTTTCAACTAAACAAATTATCTTTAAATGTAGATAAAACAAATTATATGATTTTTAGTAACAACAAGAAAGTGCTTGATACTCCATTTAGAGTCGATGGAATTGAAATTAATAGAGTCAATGAGGTGAAATTTCTGGGTGTCATCATTGATGAAAAACTAACATGGAGATCTCACGTAAAAACCTTAAGAACTAAAATAGCTAAATCGATTGCAGTAATGTACAAAGTTAGAGAGTTATTCAATGATAAAGCAATGTTTCTATTGTATAATGCCATTATTGTTCCACATTTAATTTACTGTATTGAAGTCTGGGGTAAAGCATGTAAAACAATTACAAATCCTATTTTTATTTTACAGAAAAGAGCCATAAGAATTATTACCAGAAAAGATTATAACCATCTGTCAAATATATTGTTTCATCAGCTAAAGATATTAAAATTTTATGACTTGGTTGATTACAATATCTTACTGTTTATGTATGGGGCCAACAAAAACATACTAGCTACTAACATTCAAGGGAAATTTGTTAAAAGAGAAAGTAATTATTATCTTAAGGGGATGGAGATGTTTGTGAAGCCGTGGTGTCGCACCAGTCTGAAGATGTGATCCACTAGATCTCAGGGTATTAGATTGTGGAATGATCTGGAGGTTGATATTAAAAATGCCAAAACTATGTACATATTCAAGAAGATGATAAAAATTTGTTTGTTTTTTTAAATATTAAGTATAATGTGAGTTCATAAAAATTGTTTACAGTTGATCTTATATTTTAGCTGTTTTTTTTATTATTTATCTTTTTATTTTTTTATTAATTCATCTTGCTTTTGTATAGTAATTTTGTTTGGAATATATTTTGGGGACAAGAGGCAGATATAAGAATTCATTCTTCTTCTGCTGCCTTTCATTTTATTTCTGTGATTGTATATCTTTTTTCTTTTCTTTAAATTGTATTATATTTGTTGTTTGGATGAAATGAAATGAATAAATAAAACATACGTACATACATACATATTTGATGAATGAGCTGATGATAATAAAATTATCCAACAATATATAAAAAATTGATAATCGATTAAATTTTTTGTACAATACTGTACATAACACTACACAACACTGGTACAAAAAAAGAGATGAAGTCTCTTTAGGAAACGTTCTTAGAGAGTGAGACTCACTTTGATTTAGAAGAGAAGGGGAGAAGGTGAGGAGCTCTCGCTCCAAGAAGGAGAGAGAGGAAACAAAGGGGTGTTCAGCTCCTGTAAGGAGAGGAATGAAGGAAAGATGGGGGGGTGTTAGTAGGGAGTTGAAAGTCCAGCAGGTTATGGGTGCAGAAACAAAGATATGTGACAGGTTGAGGAAGAGAAAGAAATTGAAGGGAATACTTCTTTCATTCAAACAGCAACAGTTTTCTTACCAACTGTAGGAGTGTTGCCGGCACTAAGTGAGGCGTTGGAAGACAGAGAGGAAGAACTCTCAGCCCGGGCAAGAGGAGCAGTTGGAGGAGGGCTGGCATTTGAGGATATGGATGAGCTGAACAGTCGTCCCTGAGTTAAGAGATTCAAACAGAACAAAATTAAACTGAAGTGTCACCATCATGTCAGGATGACACATACTGAAGGTAACCACACGCCACAAAGATCTTCAAAAATCAATTTGACAGAAAAACATTTAAATGGACTGTACCTATACAGCGCCTTTCTATCTTATTTCAAGATACTCAAAGTGCTTTACACCACAATCTGTGCCTCATGTACCCGTTCATACAGCTCTATACTAGATCTCTACAAAGCTACGTGAACAAATCATTCTAAAGAGACTAATCAGTGATTTAGATCACATTCATACACTGATGGGACACACATCAGAGGCTATGAGGGGTTCAGTGTATTACCCAGGGACACTTCACGACAAGTGACTGCTGGTGGATTCAAACCCCCAACTCTCTCATTGGAGGACGACTGCTCTAACCACTCAGCCACAGCCGCCCCCAAATTTAACATTTTTTTAAAAGAAATTGCGTTATACAAATTTAAGAATGAAAACAAAAAGTCTGTAAAACACTTAACCAGTTTAAGTTGTTGCCATTTTTTAAAGTTTCTTAAAGACAAACAGTCTCATTGGGCTGCAACTGTTGGCGACAACCGCATTCGTGAGGCAGTTTCCAAAAAGTTTTGAAGGGTTTGCATAGGTTCTGAATTTCCCTGCATGAATAGAAGGGCCTTGCTTTTGTGTTACAGGAATATTACAATCATATTTTTAGCTTGTGTTACCATCACTAAGTAGGCGGCAAGATGCTCGAACTTAAAATGCATCGTCTTTAAATATAATCCAAAGGAAAATCTCAGGATTTCCTACTCTATTTGTCGTGTCCACAACCATCCCATTATTTGATTCAGCATGATGCAATCACTCACCATTTCATTGATCCCTGTGAGTTTTCCAGCAGGGATCTTGGGCCTGGAAGAGGGTCGTGGTGGAGGAGCGAGGGCTCCAGCTGTCAGAGGGGTCGTAGGCCGATTTGGAACAGGCACTACATAAGAAAGAGATGTGGGTCCTTCTGGTTACTGATGGTTAAAAGTCACAGAAAATGAAGTATGACCAAGCAGGGGCTATAAAAGTGGACGCAGAGCCTTCATGCATCATTGCAAAACCACAAAAACAAAACATTCAATGTTAAAATCATGAGACAAAATCAAATCACACACATTCCTAAGTAAAACTTAAAAGTCATACACAAAACAAAAGATACGGTAAATTAGAGTACCGGTAGATAAACAAGCATTAGTCAAACAATTTAAAGAAAAATAAAAGTTCAAAATAATTGGATACAGTTTTTATTATAAATTTAAAATTTAAAAAAAGTAAAATTAGAGCATACAGTTACATGAAAAACGAACATAAAATATATAACGTAACTCCACACTCTGTGTAAAACGTCACTAAAGCCATTATTCTTGTTACCATTGTGCATTTTGTTTGATGGAGCTGCAGCCGTGGCCCTATCAGAGAAGACATCAGAGAAACTGAGGCTGCCGTCCTCTCTGTGGTGTGCTTCTGCAGAGTCATCGGACAGGAAGCGACTCGACCTGCCGGCGCCTGCCCGCACCCTCTGGAGCTCCGTCACAGAGAGGCCATGACGGCACGATGGTGTCACGGTATCACTGAAGGCAATCCACTGGTTCTGTGACCAGGCAAAAGAGGAGAAACCATCTCCACTCTTTGGAGGGCTGACAGCAGCGGGACTACTGGCGGGCTCAGAGGGCTGGGTGAGGGGGGCGCTCTGGGCCCTGGACAGAGTGGGCTTGAGGACTTGGAAAGGGGTTTCTGGTGAATCCCAAGGAGAGGATGTAGATGAGGAGAAGGAGGAGACATCCTTGGATTTTTGGCACTCTGCCAAAGGAGTAGAGCGATGCTTTGGTAGCACGGTGTCAACTGAAGGAGGGAACGTGATCGACAAAGGCAATAAAACATAAATAAATACAGAACAGAAAAGACACCGTCAGTTTTCAGGTATTTAGTACATTTTGTGCAACACCAATTCATTATCACTCTGCCAAAGGTCAAGAGCTATGGCTGTGTGTGGGTCTGTTTGTCTGCACGTTCGCAACATTTTTCATGTAACACTGGATATATTTTGAAAAAAGGCTCAGAAATGAGCTTTGGATGTACATCTGTAACAGATTAACTTTTGAAAGCAATCTAACGTATGCCTGCATCAGCTAACCCACCTAGAAAACATAGAAATGGCCACAATTCCACAGATATTGAGAAAAAACTAAATATGATAATAACAGACTCATCCACAACATACACTCCAACCATGACATCTGAAAATTACAGGAGAACAAGATATTACCATTTTCAAAATTTGACCAAAATATGATGCTCTTATTTTAAAGCTCTGGCATGAAAGACAGTGGCTGATGTGCATCCCTTTAAGAAAAGCAAGACTTTTGATTGATCAAGTTAAGTCAAATTTATATCAAAAGCACATTTCAAAACAACAGGTCGTTACCAAAGTGCTAACCAATAAAAGATAAAGGCACAGATTAAAATAAAAAACAATACAACAAATGACTTTAAAAGCATCAGAAGAAAATAAACATAGAACAATAAAATACTAAAACAACTCTCACTGGGTTAAAAGTCAGTGAAAACAGATGTGGGTTTGAAACAGATCTGAAAACAGAAAGTGAATACACCTGTCTGATGTCAGGTGTCAGACTGCTCCAAAGTTTAGGAGCCTTGACTGTAAAATCCTGATCTCTGAGCTTCAACCTGATTTTTGCTACAACCAAAAGAAGCTGATAGTGCCTGAGAAGGAACATAAGGTTGAATTTCATTAGAGATTTGAAGGTGGAAGGCCATTTCAGCATTTATAGGTCAACAAGAGAATTTTAAAATCTATTTGGTGACCCACAGGGAGCCAGTGAAGGCAGGATAAAACCAGTGAAATATGCTCAAACCCACAAGATCTTGTTAAGGCTCAGTGGTTAGTACTGTCACCTCACAGCAAGAAGGTCCTGAGTTCAATCCCCGGTTGTTTCGAGGGTCTTTGTGGGTGGAGTTTGCATGTTCTTCTCGTGCTTGTGTGGGTTTTCTCCGGGTACTCCGGTTTCCTCCCACAGACCAAAAACATGCATGTTAGTCTGCCTTCAGGCTCAGGCATCCCTTGAAAAAGAGATCTGTGATCTCAGTGGGATTTGGCTGGTTAAATAAAAGTTAAATAAAAAATACAAGCTGAGCTGTGGCATTCTGGACAAGCTGGAGATGTGAAAGTGAGACCTGATCATCTCCAACATAAAGTGCATTACAGTAATCACGTCAGGTTGTAATGAAGGCATGGGCTATTTTCTCCAGGCCAGGTTTGGTCAACACTGACTTGAATTCAATTCAATTCAGTTCAGTTTATTTATATAGCGCCAAATCACAACAAAGTTGTCTCAGGGCACTTTACAGGAACATTCACATACAGGTCCTTCTCAAAAAATTAGCGTATTGTGATAAAGGTCATTATTTTCCATAATGTAATGATAAAAATGAAACTTTCATATATTTCAGATTCATTGCACACCAACTGAAATATTTCAGGTCTTTAATTGTTTTAATACTGATGATTATGGCATACAGCTCATGAAAACCCAAAATGCCTGTCCCAAAAAATTAGCATATTTCATCCCACCTGTCAGGATGGCACCATCTAGTGGGCCTTCCCCCTGTCTGTTCTCCCTTGTGTCTGAATTGATTGTTTTGATTATCGTCACCTGTGTCATGTCTTGGTTGTGTGTATATAAAGTCTGTCTGTCAGTTCTGTCATTGTCGGTTCGTCGTTGGGTATGTCCTGTCTTGTCCTGCTAATGATCGTGTTCTTGAGGCCATGTAAGTTTTGCTGCCATGTCAGCCCTTTTGATTTATTATTGTTATTATTAAAAGCATTTTTATTTTATACATTTGCCTCCTGAGTCCTGCCTGCGCAATTGGGTTCTTCTGTCTTGATCTGCCACGAAACAAAACCTGACA